CACATTCCATAGTAAAATTGGCAATGAGAACTTTTTTGGTGTACCCTTTTTCAGTTTGTCACTTTTTTGTGGTCCTCTTTCCATTGATGCCTAAGTATGAGCTAATTGCTCTAGTTCTGCTTGCACATAAGATTTGAAACTATCAGCTTTCATTTAAAAAATTCTACCACTTCATATGGTATCTGAAGATACTATCAACCTTCTGTATGTAACAAAAATATTTCCACTTTATGTTCACTTAAACTCAGAATTATATTTAGTAAGTGGTTGCATTTTCTAAACAAATATGTTGGACAGATTTTTAAAAAAGATTTCTTTATTTATTTAAAGAATGGGGAAAAGAAACAATCCAGTTTCTACACAAATGGATAGTAGCAAAAGAGAGAAGAAATGAAATAAAACCAACTTTGGAAGATAACGAATAATCTAAATTGAAAAAAATTATATTCCCTCTGTCATAGGCATGTAGATTTAATAATCTCAAATTTAAGCACACTCTTTAAATACTGAAAATATCTGTTTGTATTTCCTGTGTGAAATTAAATTCTATCTTTTGTCCATTGGACCTTCACTGAAGTTCATCATAAGTGGCATAAATTTACTGAAGCATAAAATTAATGCTTCATTCCCTCTATACTTATACTGAAAGGATATCTTCCTAGTTCTAATATTCTCTATGTTACAGTTTTTGTTTTATTTATTTATTTATTTATTTGTTAAACATTTGATATCTGCTTGTAATTCCTTTATTCTTGTTTAAGTACAGTTTCATATATGTGATGAAGAAAGTCAATACATTATATATAAAAGGTAGGAAATCCATCAGTTTGCAGGTTATGAAATAAATCTTTCCATCTTTAAAATGGAGAAGCAAAGTTATACATTCTTGATTGACATTATTTTAAGTATTTGAAACTACATGATACTTTAGCTAATTATCTATACCAACATTTTCTTAATATGTTTTAGATATAATTTCTTAATGTGAGATTTAGTAGAGAAAGAAATGGTTGTCAGCTTATTATTTTGTTTTAAAGTTAAACTGAACATGGAGATAGTCTGGTTTGATTTAGTTTATTATGCATATGAGAGCTATCTGAGGGTAGGGTGCGTTCATGAAGGACTTTCTGGAAACTGGCTATTATTCACATTACATGTAGAAAAACATCATGCAAATATCTATGCATCCAGCCTGCTTGCCAAGATTTAAACACACATTGAATTGCTAATGTTGAATGGTTTTAACCACTTGGCCATTGATTGGCCTACATAAAGCAAAAATATAGATGTAAATTACGATTTCTTATTAACTTAGTTTGTTTTCTTATCATAACAAGCTTCAAAAATAAATTAGATGGGGAAATTTAGTGATCCTTGGTGGATATGCATGATAAAGAATGGTGTTATAATATTTTTTGTTAATTTGAATGTATTGGTCCATCTATAGAAATATTTTCTGTATTTACTTGTGTAATCCCCCCTTTTTTCCTATTAATTTTACTGCTCGAAAATCGGGAGGGGCGAATATCCAATGCTTACTGTATTGAAGTCTTAAATGATGCACATAACACATCAAAAAGCCCACAAACACGCACTATTGTAGTTACATTATGTATTTCAAACGATTTATGAATTTTAATAATATTCTTTTTATTTACATAAAATTTCTATTTGTGCATATATTTTACAGTATCCTAAATCAAAAATTTCGAAATCCTATGCTGAAAAGACTTATGTGGATGGATGGTTCAGAAATAGATGTCTATTTTTTCCTAATAAAAGTCCTCGGTCAAATCTTAATATAAAATTACCATTTAGTTTGTAAATGTAAAATGTGATAGTCTAAGTACTAGAAGTATGTTTGTTTATGTATTTCAAGATATATTTTTAGAGTTCCTTGAGTACAAAAAACAACAGCCAGACCTATTTAAATTGATTAAAAATAAGTAATTATTTCTTTCAAGAAGTTTTGTGAGACAGTTATCTGAAAGTATTCATGAAAAGAGGTACAGATTTTATTTATAGTTACAGTACTCTAAATACATACATCTAAAAGAGTTTTCATAACATTATGTTGAAATATTTTCTTGTTAGAAGTACTAGAATCAATATTTAGACCCCCCCCCCCAAAAAATTTTTTTTTTTTTTATACCATGCACTTTTCTTACTTTTAAATGTTTATTTTCTGAAAACGTTACATCTCAAGATCATTATCTTTTTCAATGACAGTACATGTACAGTCTGTGGATTTCGTCAAACTCATCTATATTCAAGACTTTCTTTTTAATAGTTATTGTTTGTGGCATATTTCTGTATATACTCTCCTTTGAAAGTAATTTAGCTCCTAAATATGAGCTTGTCAATTTTTTGATGCATTTAAGAATAAAAAAACTGATTGATGATTTAAAATGATAAAAGGTGATCCTGCTGTAATTTGATATCCTGAATATTTGTTATGAAGAAGGCTGGATTTGTTTAGATGAAAGAGAATAATCTTTTTAAGAAGTTTGCTTGAATGGTTTTATGTTGGGTTTTTGTTTTTTTCACTGAAGATTTCTCTAAATAAAAAATATTTAAAAAAATGTCAGCATATTGATTGTTGTATTTTTTTTATTTATTTAAATGCATTTATGTAGTATATATATAAACCAAAATATTTTGTGACATAATTTTGTAATTCTAATTCTTAGAAAATATTTTGATAAAATTGATGAGTGTCTGTCTAAGATAGTAAAATCAAGACTGTGTTTCTAAATCATTTTTATGTTTTTAAATATTTTATTGAACACTTCTTATTATAAATGCTGATAATGCTGTACCATGTACAGAAAAAGAAATTCTCTTAACAGTAAAGAAGTATGATGTAGCACAATATTGGTTGAATTATTGAATTGAATATGTATGTGCACAGAAAAATAAGTGTATATTTTATAGAAATAATCATTCTGTCCAATATTCAAAGAAATCCATTTGTGAATTCTTATAGTTTATTTTAAAGATTTTATTCGATTTCACATAATTAGTAAAAGAACCAAACAATTATGTGTCAAGTATATAGTATCAAAAAAATTTTAAAATGGGTTCTAAATTTTGTACTTTTTACATATGACATTATAAATATCTTTAATTCATTACAATAATCTTGCAAAGGGAAAAAATAATTCATAAAATAATTTTGTAAAAATAATCAGTTTGATGTATTATAAATTAAATGGATTTTGATTTATATTAGCTATATTACATAAAAAATATATATGTGAATTGCATTTATTGTTTTTATCTCATTTGGTTTGAAAAGCAATTATAAATGGATTAAATTTGAATAGTAAATTAAAGACTTTATGGCAACATGTTAAGAAATGGTTACTCTCAAGGCTGAATGAAAGATAAATTATGTTTCACGTAATGGCTACACTTATTAAGGCACATGTGTGGTAAATAGATGACAGCACTATGTAACTTTAGTAGCTTGATTGTTTATCTTGGTGTAATGATCAGCCATCCCTCAGTAATTAAGCTTAATTGAAAATATGTTGAAAATGAATTTTTTTTTTTATAGACATGTAAATTCGTAAAATAATTTACAAAGGTTGACTGAGTTTTGAAAATATTTTACTCTCTTGAGAAATTAACAGCTTTAACACTAGAACAGCCGATTTTCAGACTAACCGAAAACTGCCATTGAGGGTCAATTTAACCCTCATAAGAAATGTAAGTGGAAACACAGTAAATAATTGAAATGATGCTGAAATGACCACATAAAAGAGTTTTTAGAGGTTTTTATTTATTTTTTATACTTTAGAATTTTTTCATGCAATAAGTGCAAATTAGCACACATCTTTTAATGTAAGATTACAAAAACAAAATCTATGAAAAACAAACAAAAGATACAAATGCAAAAAGTGGAAAATAGAACATATGCAAAAAATTACAAAAAAAAAAAAAAAAAAAAAAAAAAAAACCGTAAATTGGGAATAAACACACAGTGTTTTCTAAAGTTTGTTATACATTACCGCAGGTGATACAATATGAACGCTTGACAGTGACAGCAACACATTTACCACAAATTGGTTTTTGGCATCCCTCACAGTTGACAACAGTCTTGTTTTGTCCCTTGCAACTTTGAAATGCACATTTCTTTCGTTTAAGTGCAGGGGCGTAGCTAGAGTTTCCAGCGCCCGGGGACAATTGAAGAATTTGCGCCCCTTTCTGTGTGCCAAGAATATAAAACGCTTCATTAAAGAATTTTGTAGCATGAATTTGGCGCCCCTTTGGACGCTGCGCACGGGAACAGATGTCCCCCCTTGCCCCACCCTAGCTACGCCACTGTTTAAGTGTCTGTATTTGAGCAATTGGGGGCATCTGCTGCGTAGTGCACCAACTCGTAGTTCGTCCACGAGTGCAAGAATAAATTCTCGACGGGAAATAGAGGTGCCCAAGGACTGTTTTAATATAATCCAAGCATTGAGTGCAGCAATGTCAAGGTCGTTGTAAAAAACATGTACAGGCCACCTGCGACTTCCACTACTTGTACTATATTTCTTCAGCATCTGATCTGCGACGTCAACGCCACATTTCGTACTGTTGTAGTAAGTGACAGTGTTCGGTTTTTTCTTTATGCTGTCGTCAACAAACACATTACTGTGCATCGTGCTCAGAATCACATTCTTTTTGCTCTTGCACCTATATATTGTGAGTGTTTTGCCTCCATTTTTCAGTGTAAAAGATGAATATCGTGCCGAAGAAATGTCACGAGCAATAGGGGGTAATTCTCGCTTATTCAGGCGCATCGTCCCGACAATTGTGGTTTTTTTTTCGCAGAAAGTTCTGCAAGTTTCACAGAAGTAAAAAAAAAATTGTCAGTTGTGACATTGAGTCCGGAGTTTAGATGTGGTTGCAGTAATTTGAGAACTACACTTTCCCCAAGTTGTAAATTAGTTGGTCGTTCTTCATCCTTGCCCAGATAAGGATAACCATTCAAAACATATTTGGATTTTACATCAGTTGCTAGCCAGAATTTGATGCCAAACGCCAAACTTGTCCGGTTTATTCGCCATGTACTGGATAAATCTACATCTTGATTTACAAGGTAACAATTGTTCATCAACGGTTATTTCTGGTCCAGGATTATAGCATAAATAACAGTTTTTCATTAGCTTGCACCAGGTTTCAGAAGCGAGAGCAAATTTGTTAGTGGCGAGACGATCAGCTCTGGTGCTTCGGACATCGAATCTGAGATACCGCATTATTTCACGGAACCGATTGCGTGATATTGTTTCTTTGAACACAGGTGGTCCCCAATTCTTGTTCCACAAATCATCTGCACAAAGTTTTGAATGGCCTAGTGCTCCACGGGCATATAGAAGGGCAAAAAAGGCATCAAGTTCTTGCAGAGTAACATGCCAGTTACTATCATCTCTAAGTTGGCGTTGTGCCTCAGCAACTGTACATAATTGAATGTGCTTCACCACTGATTCACTCGCCATCATACGCCACGCTGAAGCAGAATTTATTCTTTATATTATTATAGGAGCAAACGACGTTGGTCCACTTGCAGTGGTTACAATATTTTGAGCTGGTGTGCGACCTGAAGTGGAAGGGGTGCTGCTAAGGTTCATAGGGGTCCAGAGAATACCTCTGGATGAGATATACTTCTCATTACTGCTGGCAGCAACGTTGTTGCCTCATCCTTGACCACGACCACGTCCACGTGAGCTTCCGGCTTCCCGCATAGGGATCACATTTCCAGAATTGTCCTCGACATCACTATCGCTGCTTTCAAAAAGCGACGCATTCTGTAAGTTCACATCAACATTAAAATCTTCATCACTGCTATCATCACCACTTAGTATATCTGATTCCAGCTGTTCAAGGAAGGCAAGGCACTCTTGTGTATTCAATCTGCTTCCTCTCGGCTTTGCAATGGAGAGAGAATGTGCTCCGTTCTGGATTTTATTTTTCTCCCCTGAGTCATCGTGATAAGAGCTGCGTGTTTCCCAATGCGCAGAAAACGAAAATGTGGCATCGGGAATTCGAAAATGGACATTCGCTTAAAAATATGTCGTTTTTCTTATGAGGGTCAAAATGACTCCAGTTGGTTGTTTTAGGTATATCTGCGATTGTTTATTTAAATAATTAACGTAGAAATATGAAAAATTGGCATAGTATACTTGGAAACATTTTAGAAAAGTAAAAAAATATCAGCTTCAAAGCTCAGCTGTATGTTAAAAAAAAAACACGGAAAATTGGAAAAAAAGGTCAAAATGACCCCAACGGCACTTCTGGTGTTAAAAAACTAAAATCTAGCACATGTTGCCTTTTTTCTTATTATTATTGATCAGTTTTGCAGCAAGCTATTACAGAGTTAATGATTATAAAAGTTATTTACTTTACAATCAAATATTAAGAGATGATAATGTGAAACTACTTGAAGGGAGGGATGCTTCTTTAAAAAACTTTGCGTGACAGCTTGGTTTCTGTTTATTTTATACAGGACAGAAAAATAAAGAAACTATGAGGCTAGCTTATTCATTTATTAGGAATAAAATGCATAAAATAATTACTTGCATTTCATCTCTTCAGTAGTTCATCTTCGATACACCCAAAATATAAGAGAAGATTATCTTCAGTGCAGGATATTTTAGATATCAGGTTCAAGCTGAACACATTCTGAATGATATTCATTATATTCAGTGGTTTCAAACACTGCTACTAATGGACAGCAATTTTACTTTTTCACATGAAGACGTTCTACTTGAATTTTCCTTTTATTCTTAAAAAAGCTAGATAACATTTTGTTGTATATGAATATTACCAATTAATTTTTTAATTCACCAATGTAAAAAAAAAAAAAAAATATTGAATTTTTTTGGGTGTGATTAAATTACCTTTTTTTTTTTTTTTTTTTTTTTTTTTTTTTGATTGTTTTGTTTACCCATTTCATGTATTTGTATTTTCTTTTAAAAATATTTTTAACAATTTAGAAAACTGTATGTACATACGGCAGAACAACTATTGTAAACAAAATGCTGCATTATTAACTTTATAGATTATTTGATAAGTGTAAATAAAAAGGTTCTTGTTTTACAGGGCATAATTCAGGTTCCTTCCTTATCATAAAAATTAAACAGAAATTTCATGCATGCTTAGAAATGTTTTACTTTATTAATTTGTAAAAATTTCACTCAGTGGTTAGATAAAATGCTGGTAGTTTGTATTAGATTAAGCTTTTATACAAATGAACAGGCAAATGAATGCTTAGAAGTACGATTGGCATATGAAAATTGATAAAGACCCTTAAAAAGGCATCCTTGTTAAAGTAGATAGCTTTAAATGTTTTTCCCTGTCCTGCTATTTTAACCTATTATTTAAACTTATTTATAAATTGAGGGATGACTGTATACTAATGTTGCATTTTCTGTGTGCATATGCAAAATCAGAAACCTTTAATGTATGAATATTGTAGCAAGTGTAAATGAAAGTTTTATATTTATATCATCTCAATTGATATTCTGGAGTATTAGTAAAATTTCGTGAATATAAAGGTGAACAAATTTTATAATTTTTATTGAATGAGACTATCATCAAATAAAGTGTTTGCATTTTTTTTTTTTTTTTTTTTTTTTTTTTTTTTTTTTTTGAAGACATTGTTTCCCAGCTAAGTTTTCTGAAATCATATAATAGTTCTCCATTAAATGCATTTTAAGGTTCCATGGAAATATATGCATTAAGAAAGAGCCAAAACTATTAGATGTTTTGTTTTAACGATATTCAACATTATTTTAAGCGTATAACTGCCAACTCTGTTCTTAATCACATCTTGGGTCTTTTGATTTTTAATTTTTAGCTTTTACAAGGGAAATATTTTCCAGCAATTAATGAAACTTATATTCTACAAATTACATTTTCAAACAATACTTTTTATATAAATTTTCTTATCAGTTATTTGATCTGATCATCTTAATGTGTTGAAGACATTTGCAGACTCAAACTATATTAGTATTTAATTTTATTTTCCATTAATATAGAGTACATTATTGTGTTTATCCACCCAATAGTATGTACATTAACCCTTTGTCAGCTGCAAGATTAAGCAATTCTTTCTTTCCAAATCTGTCCTAAATCTGTTAGTCGTAAATTTGTAGTACAAGCTGCATTCTTTTGTGCTTACTGCGCTGTGTAACTGGAATGTGAGCTAAGCTTATTGATGACCATCGAAAGCTTAATTGTTAATTTTATTTTTCTCTTATTTAAAACTCATTGATGAATAAAAGCCTTTTTCTCTTATTCAGGCTTTCGTCAGGATAAAATTTTTAAAAAATTACAAAATGAAATTAACTTGGTCGAAAAACATAAAAGTTTAGAAAATCTAATTAATTATTAATGTATTTTGCATGGTACTCATATTTAAGTAGTTCAGTAACTTGAATAATGCATTATAATGTCAGTTTAAGTGAATTTAGAATTCTGTTGAAATGCTGCACGTCATGAAAACTTCCTGAAGATGTAAATAATACATTGTTAAAATCTAAATGTGATTTTAAAGTTCCTGAAATTCTGTATCTCTTTAACTGAAACACTTAATACAAATATTCTCTAACTGAAATGACAACACAGTGTTATTGAATTGCAAACCTACTTAAAAGGAAAACCAACCAAATCAAATGAGTTGCCTATCTTATCATGAGCAGGAGCTATATTTTTTTAGCAGGTGATGTAGTGATTTACTAATGTGTGTGAAACATATGCAAGTCTAATAATACAATAGATAATTTATTCAGTGTTGTTAGATAGCTGACAATAGACAAGTTGGCTGACTCTGATTTTTTAGACAGAAAGCGAAAATTTCTATGCAATGAATTTTAGTGTCAAAAGTGTGAATACAAAAGGTATTTTTTGCTTTATTGGTATGTGTGTGTGCTTATGTGAAACTGATTTTTTTTTAAATATATAGATAGCAAAATTAATGTAGGTTTTACTTCAACTATGTATGTAAATTTTTGTTTAGATTTTCCACTTGAATTAAAATAGGAAACATCTACATTATATAATTTACAGCATAAAAATTTTTATATCGTCTTAATTTCATAATTTTTGTAAATATGACTATATTGCAAATTTTATGCATTCCATTATGTCACCAATATGAGACATTCTACCTTAAATTTTCATGATACTGATTTCTATTAAAATATGTTCTTATTTTCTGCAAAATTCATCTTACAAAAAATGAACTACTTTTTTTCCACCTTCTTTTTTGATATACAAGGTGTGAGTGAATTTTATTATTTTCCTAAAATTGATTTGAATTTCTTTCAGTGTCATAGGAACTAAGAATTATGAGGCTTCATGTCACAGTATATTATTTAATTGGTTATTTTGTGTAATAAGATTGGCAGCTTTTGTGTATTTTTTGGCACATGTTATGTTACATTATTTTGTAAAACATTTAATTCTTTCTATTACAAAACAAAACACTGATGAAATACATATGCTGTTGCCTAAAATAGCATGATGTAAATAATTCTCTAAAGAATGAGAAGTACATAATAAATATTATTTGAATTATTTCATATACAGTGTATATCGTTTGCTTTCCTTTTCTTGTGGATCAATAACCAACTAATTAGCACTGTGCAAAGAGAATTTGTATGGGGAAGTACAGTTCAAAATATGGAGGCTGTACGCACATTTTTTTAGATTATTTTAAATCATTATATAAGAAAATATTGTCTGCTAGGAATTTTTTTAAATTGCAACTCTATTTTTCAAAGTATAAATAATAATTTGCTACTTGACAATTTTGTTTTCATACAAAATGGCATTTTTTGAAAAGCAATGGATGGACAGTAGGTATATGCTTTTACAAAAGAAAAATTATTCATATCTAGTTATAAAAAAATGCTGTGAAAGCTATGGTTTTTTCATACCTAAAGCTGCATTAGGAAATATTATCAAAAAGAAAGGGAAAAACTTCAAAGTTTGGCATCAAGTGGAAAAACTGTACCAAATACATATCTAAGGAAAATACGGAATGTGTCGATTGTTGAAAGATAAGATCTTGAATGTTAAAACAAAATCCGACGAATCAAATGTCAGTTGCCAAAATCATTAAATGATGAGTGTCAGCTGTAAAGGGATTAATGCTCATTTGAATCTCAAAAGGCAAAAGAAAACGTAATGTACTTCAAGGATGTCAAACTCGCGGCATGCGGCCCACAACAAATATTTTTTCAGCCCGGCCAATATATCGGCAAATAATAATATATAATAATAAAATAACATATCGACGAATAAAAAAATGAAATATTTTCTGCTAAGTAATTAACGATAATTTATTCAGTGTTGTTAGATTACTCACAGTGAGCTGACTAGAGCTGGAGCAAACCGCATGTATTCGTTACCGAGTAACGGGTACATCGGTTGACTCGAAGTACCGATTCGGTACTCACAAATCAATTTCGTTACTCGCATCCATTTCGTTACT